TGCCCCAGCAACGCCGGCTCCAACCGCTGCCACCAGCGGCAGCCCGGAAACCCCCCGGGGAGAGAGGGGGGCTGTATGGGGACAGAAGGGGGGACCCTCCTCATCCTCACAGGCTGTGTTGGGAAGCAGCGCTGACCCCTGTCCAAAGCAGGAACCTGGTGGTGTGGGGGCACGTCCAGCCCTTCGCCCTGCCCAAGCCTAAATCCTGCTCGTGGTGGTGACAGAACCCCTCTTGGCACAGCCAGACCCTTTGGGACCGAACCCCCACCCTGCCCAGGGAATGGGATGAGGGCTCTTTACCCAATGCCCCCCCCAAGGGGGTTGTGGGCAGTTTCTGCTCCCTTGGCACCCCCTGAGCAGGACAAGCAGAGTGAAAGAAAACCATCCTCCCCCCAGCACAGGTCCCCCCCCTGTCCCCAGCTCACTGCCAGGGTGGCACCTGCCCATTCCCCATCCCCAGGGATCACTCCAAGCTGTCACCTTCACCACCGCTGATAATCAGCTCTAAGTGCTCCAGACTGTTGACTTCAGCCTTGCTGTTAAGCTCAAATAATAACAATTTCTAAATCTAATTTGTTTTTCTTTCTGCCCAGCGAGAGCCCCGTACCCTGCTGGGAGAGGAAAGGAGTTTTGTTATCAGCTCAAATTATCTCCTCGACCTGAAGCGGCTGCGGCGCCGAGGAGAGTCGGCAAAACACGGCTGCTCTCAGCTCTGGGCACCAACCTGCTGCTTCCAATCGGGGGAGTTTGGTGGCTTCAGGAGCAGGGATTTGGTCCTGAAGCCCCATCTCAGCCTTGGACTGTGCACCAGCACATCCACCTCGTTCAGACACGGTGCTCTTATTCCCACCTGGCAGCATTCAGTCCACGTTCCCTGATCGTACAGGGTACAGGGAGTCATCTCTGCTCTCCAACATGAAAATCCTGTTTATCCCAACTGAGAGCAGCTCCTCTTCTGCTCTGGTCCTACAGCAAAGGTTTGATTGTGGTCTATGGAAGAAGCTCAAACCTTACCCTATCCACAGCAGGTCTTGCAGCAGAATCTGTGTGTATTACACTCACTGGGATCATTCAACCCATTCCAGTCAGGACACAGGACTGGAGGAGCTGGGGATGCAGCAGTTCGGACACAGGGTTAGGAGATGCACTTCTACAAAAGCCTCGCAGAGCTAAGAGCCATCTGAAGCGTGCAGGCACCCTCCACGCTGGAGGGGAAATGAGCTCCCTGAGAGCAGGAGCTACCCGGCTGCTGGGGCTGGACTGACCCCCCAACCTCATTTGAGGAGAGGGACAGAAAGCTGGGATTTTCTACCTCATTTCATCCCGGGAAGCACAAACACGATGGCCTGGAAGGATGCGTCCTGTGAGCTTTTCTTCTCCTGGACGGGTATCTAGACCGATTCATCCACAGCTCGGGTAAAATCCAGCCACACCTGGGACACCTTAGACACGTTTCCCAAGTCCACACAGCCAAGACCAGCAGCTCAAACCTGACATTTCAGCTGCCAATCGATACCCAATTTATCCAGGTACTTACACCCACATTCTGTTTACAGGGACAAAAGGGGGGCAGCTGGTGGACATGGGTACAGCCACATGGTTAGAAATTGCAGCAGCACCTACAAATTCACCCTCCCTTTTGCAAAAAACAGCTCCCAAACCCGACACGTGCATTTAACAATTCTTATTTTCCACAACTCTACTGACACTGTGGTCCCACACAGACTCAGTCCTCCTACAGAACAACCCCATGGGGGTACTTACCTTGAAACTACAGACAGAGACACCCCGCTGCTTTCTGGTGGGATTTCACAGGGGGTTTAGGAGACGCAGTGGCCTTTGTGGGTGGTAGCGCCTGGTGAAGGTCCGCAGTGCAGGCTGAGCCTCAGAACTGCTCTGGTACAGTGAGGCAAGATGCACATGTGACAGAGGGACCCCAAACACCTCCCATTCTCAGTTATTCTTCAAGAAGAGATGGAGCAGAACAGTGCCATGCTGTAATTTTAAAATGACTTGAAAGGACAAAAGAGGAATAGCTAAGGCAGAGCAGGCTGAGATGTTTGATGGGGATTATCTAGATACAATCTCATACAAAGAGCAGTGCCGTGGGCTGCCGCAGGAACCGTGAAGCCTGCAGGAATCACCGAGCAAGTTTTGCTTTGAAGCTTTCCCATTTCAGTGAGAACCTGCTCTGCGGGACCGTACGCTGAAACGGAGACGCTTGAAATATCAAAAGGGTAAACCTCCTCAATTTACCACAGAGCCCCGGGTGAGGGATTTAAAACTTGGGGGTTTAGTTCACTTTTTCAGTCTCTTTCAGGTCTGGTTAATAACAATTATAACAAAATTGCTCATTACACGTGATGTGTTAGTTATGCCACAAACTGCTTCTGAAGCACTAATGAAAGACTTGAACCTTACCTGGGCTTCAGCTCTGCAAGGTCACAGGCTCATGATTTTGTGTCTGTGCAGATCTGCATTTAACCCACCCAACTTGGCCCACAATTATTACCCAAAATAACAACTTCTACAAGAACAGAGAGAGGCATAACTCAGTTTTATTGTTTCTGAGGAATATTTTGAAGTTCAACTGGAAACAAGCTTACAACAAACCAATCATCCCTGAAATCCCCTTGAAGAGTTTATACACCTCAAACCAACTACTGCAAATAAACAAATTAAAAAAATTACCAAAAAAAAAGCCAAATCAGGAGTACTTTATGACTATACAAACTACTAAAAGTAAACCAAAGTAGAATTATAACCCCTATTCCTTATCACATTAACTTAAAATAATTAGGCATTCTGAAAATTCTTTCATCATGTTTAGTGACTTCAAAAGTTGCGGTAACATGGGGAAGATAAAGTACCAAACTTGTGCATTTCTTGGCTGTCATCTACTATAACAGACACCAAAAAGTGCTCCAGGACTTTTCAGCATATATAACAAGCTGTTCAGTGAGGAATTTTACAGGGTGGGGGGAAAGGAATGTTCTGTTATCACTAAATAAGGGCATTTTATGCCCTTTAGAGCCTGTATCAGGTGAGGTTTGGGTCTCTACAGGCTCATTCCAAATTGATACAAGATATAAGGGATGAGAAGCCACATCTTGTAACTCCCACAGCTACTCCTGATGAACCAGTGCAGTTCTGACCTGCAGTCAAGCCCTGCTCTATCAGAACCTCTTCAGACTCTGCAAGTCTGGCACCTGGAGCTCACAACCTCTGAAACAGTTGTTTCAGCAAACACACAAAGGGAAGTTTTCAAACCAGATCAGAGTCCAGAAAGCAGGCACAAACTTCAGCTTTATTGTTTTCCAAGCAGTGGTCATCTTTGCAAGGGAATGATATTGCAGCTGAAAAAGAAGAGGGTAGAAGGAAACATTAAAATCTCAGTTTTTAAACAGGCACAGAAGATCTGACATGGGATGAATCAGACCCACCACAACCCTCCTCCATTGGTTTCCTCTACCAGACAAACTGGCCACTGAAACCTTCCTCCTCGTGCTCATGTTTGATGCAACTCAGCTCCTCATATCGCTGTGCAAAACTGTCAGCTTCCAGCTCTCAGCTGGTACCCACCAGTGAAGTCCATCCCCATGGGCAGCAATACTGAGAGCACAGCACAGAGCTGGCCCAGCTGCAGGAAATGTGCTCTGAGCTGGGTGAAAGCCTCATCTGTTCTAACAAGTGGAACAGCAGCTTACCCCAGGAGACCCTTCCCAGCCCAGCGCTTCGGAGTCAGCCCCACGTGCACTTTTTTGCCGCCGCGGATCACAGTCACGCTCAGGGGTCGCTGAAAGGGGGGAAAAAAAGAAGAAAAGTTGGCAACTATCCATCACCAACTCAACCCTCTTCTTTGTTCTTTTGCTGAAACACCAGAAGAACATTAGGCCCAAGGGAGCTCTTATACAGCAGCTCCCATGCCCATCCCTGCAGCTAGATCTGAAAGGAGGGAGTGTTTGGTGTGAAGACATCTCCAGGAGATCTCTCACTTCCACTATAAAGACCCTGATGGCTGTGGCAGCTTCTTTGGCCAGTCCACAGCAATGCAGCCTGCTGCTGCAGGGAGTCCCCAGGGGAGAACAGACAACAGAGCAAAGAGCACACACCTCTTAGCTCTCTTCTACCCAGCAGTAATTAGCTCAATGCTGTGAGAGAACAAAGCTACAACAGCACCAACCGAATCTGACGCTGCTTCTGACATGGAAATGATGATTCCAGAGATCTAAGTGCCATAGAAAAAGCTGCGGCCAACAGAGACAGGCAAGAGAATGCAGTTACAGCAGAAATGAGCTCACCCCTTCGCTGTGCTGCACCACTGCCGCGATGTTCTGCAGGTTCTGGAAGTTGTTTACGTTGACAGAACCAAACTCCACAATCTCATCATCCACCTGAAGCCCCTGGAGAGAGACAGAAGAGAGATGAGCGAGTGCCTTCTCCAAAGACAGGTAATATCACAACAATGTCACCTGTCAACCAGGCACGTGGGGAGAGGTGTGCTATGACACTCCTCTCCTCACCATTCAGGCAACTCAACTGCTTTACACCCTCTCCATGTCCTTAGAAAGAAGAAAATACCAACCCCTCTGTCCTACTTAATGGGAAGAGAAATCCTGAGACTCGACTGGTCAGTGAGGCCTCGCAGGAGCTGTGTGGTACAACAACACAGCCGAGAAGAGAGGACTCATCTCGTTCCTGTACAGCGACCAGTCTGTTACAGGACACCCCAGTGTGACCAGAAAAAAAAAGAGAGAAGGGAGGAAGAAACCCTAATCAAACCCCCACTTCAATCAAACCCTAATCAAACCCCCAACGTACTCCCACTCATTAGCAAGAGACAGAGAAAACCACCTGCTATGTTTCCTCTCTGGGTGCAGAAGAAGCCTTCCCCACGGGCTGTGGGACCCCACCAACTTACCGAGAGACTGGCAGGAGACCCTGCAGTCACCGTGTTCACTTTGGCAAAAGCC